TTTGGATTAGGTCTGCTTTAGACCCCGTGTGATAAGGTCCTTAAACTGGCTTTTTGGATACTGTCCTGTATTAAGAGCCTTTGAGATCAACCAAGCAAAGGGTGTTTTGGGGGTGGGAATGGGGAGATAGAAACAAAGTGCCCCTATTAGCATTTTGAACAGTTTATTATTTAGCACACAAAAAAAAGATAGATGTTAATATGGTAGGGAAGTTAGCAACTCCTAGGCATAATAGCCAAGAAAGGGAATTCTGTATTGTGAACCTGCAACTATAGCAAATTTATTCCCCAAGTTCTCCTCTGTATGTTTTGATGCCAAATATTAACTGGCGAGTCTCTGAATATTAGCAGAAAATTAAGCAAATACTTGTAGAAGTGCATTTAAAGTAGGTAACTTTAGACTTTAAATTTAGAGACCTTTGAATTTCCCAGCTCTGGGGGGAAAGTGGGATACAAATAAGTATCATCATCATCATCATCATCATCATCGTCATCATCATCATCTTGGAGCCTCCACCAAACTAACCTTTCTTCTGATGGTAATGTATATTACTTCACATCCTTCAGAGTGTGGTAAGCCAGTCCTGTTGCGTTGAAGGGCCCTGCTTCTCATTCTCTCGAATGCAGAGCTGGACATCTCCCAGATCTTGCTGTGAGAACGCTACAGAATATTTGAGCCATATTAGGTGTCCATTGAGAGGAAAAGAGATTCTACATCAACATTAGAAGGAACTTCCTGACAGCAAGAGCCATTCGACTGTGGAACACACTCCCCCGGAGTATGGTGGAGTCTCTTTCTTTAGAGGTTTTTAAACAAAGACCAGATGGCCACCTATCTGGAGCGCTTTGATTCTGTATTCCTGTGCGACAGAGATATGGACTGGAATGGATGGCCTATGTGGCCTCTTCTAGCTCCATGATTCTGTGAGAGTGGAAACAGAGTGAAACAAATGCACAGAGGAAACACCTTACTGTTAGTGAAAGTGCCTGACCTGGTATCATTTACAGGACTGAAGGAGTACCACACATCCAACTCAGTTCTAATGCTGCTTTGAGGTTTCCATGGTAGTTTGGCTGCTTATCTTACAGTTTCTTCATTCTCCTTCTCTTACCTTGATATTATATCAGAATACAATCCTTCTTATCTGTCTTCATCACTTTTTATAGGACATAGGATGAGATTTTTTTAAGATCAGATTCCATATTTGCAAAGGCCAAGTGTAGTGCATTAAGACCAAGGAGGACAGAGCTAGAGAATAATCTTGATAACCTGCAGACAATAACTATATCCCAACTATATTGCTTGAAAGCTTTCTATGGATCTCACCCTGAGAAATTGGGATTGATGCTTTTTGGGGGGAAATTGTTATGAATGTTCAAGCTCACAGTGAGTCCTGAGCCTGAGGAATTTTCAGAAAAAGATTTGACCAATATACTATCCAATCCAGCCTTGTCCAAATGCTGGACACTCACAGAGCCTTTGAGATTCACATATTATTAGCAATAACTATTGATTTGATGGTTAATGATATATAAGATGAAGTATTGGTGGTTTAACTTGCTGCTAGATTACCCCTGGCTTGGTTGCTAGCAAGGCACATTATCTCAGAGAGAACATCAGGCCAGGCGGTTGTTGTTGTTGGTCCACAAAATGTCTGTACACTTCTTTGATTGTATTGGGGTGCTCTATGGGTTATCTTGGATCTTATGCATGTACTGTACAATTTCACCCTCTGCAAGGCCACCTAAAGAGGGAAATGGGATAAGTGAATATATTAATGCTGGTCTTGCCAGGTTTATAATTTCCCAAACAACAAATTTGCTTTGGTTCACATTTTCATCAGCTTGTGAATATGGCAAGACAAATTTTAAGAAAAGATTTACATATTTTTGTATATATTTATTCTATTATTACACACTTTTCCTAGTCTGCACATTTTTTGGAAAACATTTTCCTGCAATATCATGTCTCCTACATAATTTTCCTTAATATACACATTTGTGTGTACTTTTCTGTAGTATAAGCAGTCATGTGTGAGTGTTTTGAATGGTGAAGCAGATCACAGCATTCTGAAGAGTGCAGATTTTGACACACAAGTGCATTCCAGTTCACTTTTAGATTTGGCTGATCTCAAGTGTGTCTATTAGTATACAAAATCATACCTATGAATTTCTCCTCTATCCCTGCTGAGGAATGTTGGGAGTTTGTTTTTCAATATGTTGACTTTGCCCTGTTCACGCATTTCAGTTCTGTATGCAAACTTGATCTAAGGAAATAAGTCTACCCAATTGTCTTCATGAAATGTGAGGAAACAACAGAAGTATTTTCCAAGGTTTGCTTAACAGTCCTTGTTTGCCTGTCAATCTGGGAGGATAGACTGTAGAGAGTTGGGGGTATATTTCCACTAATCTGAGAGTCTCTTGCCAGAAGTGAGACAACAAAATGTTTTCCTGTGTCTGAAAGTATTGATCTAGGGATGCCATGAAGACAAACAATTATG